AATTTTATAAATTATGTAGACATACCGTATATGTATATTCTTTATACAGTCTATATTCATATATTTAAAAGTTTTGCTGATATATTATTTTAAAAATTAAATTTTTGTACATGGACTATTCATAAAATGTATTTTGATTTGATTACATTTGCCAATTACTTTCGAAAATTCCTTACCTCAGCATACGTTTTCTTTCACGAATATTAGCCGCGTGTCTTTGAATTCTATAAGGACTGCCATTTGGATAATAACCTTCTTCTACGCCGTTCATCTCTGTGTCATGATCTGAACGAAAAAGTTATTTTTAAAAAATATTAATCAAATAACTTCATTATTACAGTTATTTGGTTTGGTAGTATTTATTACCTGGCGTTGAAACTGGTACATGATAATGCAAAGGAGAATGTGTATGTGGCGATGTGTGCGTGATATGTTGCGTGGATCTGCCTGCATAAACACATGAAGGTAATTCTGCTAATTCTTCCTCAGTGATATCGCTATTGTGTCCCACGTAATATTGAGTACTGTAAAATTATAATAACGCGAAATTTGCTTGTGTCATTTAGATATTAATTGTATTATTTGATATTTGTTTTTGCAGAATTATTAAAATTTTTGTATTTGTAGAATTTTAAGTAATAACTGATAAAGATTTATTATATTTACATTCCCTGCTATACACACACCCACACACACACGCGCGCGCGCGCGCGCGCACACACACACACACATATAAAATAGAGTAGGGTCTATTTATAGATAGGCTAGAGTATTATGAGCACTGCAGGTAATATGAACACCCTTTATATTTCTGTAACGGTTGATACTAATAATGCCAATGGTTGTAAAGAGATGCATCTGTTTTCGCAACATTCCAATAGTGAAGTTTGTTATAAAATTATATATTTTGGATATTTATCATATTAAATAAGCAAGTACGTTATTTTTTTATTTCTTACGTTTCTTTCTCTAACTTCATAAGGTCCCCAATCTATATTGAGATAATATATTTTGTTCTGCATGTTAATATTTGTTAAATAAACAATATTGAGCTACTATAACTTCACAAAGTCCTGAAACCATTATTGATTTATTAGACACAAAAGTTTTTCGGATAGATATGCATGGTCATTTATTATGAGCATCTTCATTATTCCTTATCGTACACTGAAAAAAAAGTCTGGCAAGGAGTCAATCACTATGGCAATCAGTGTACATTTCTTTAAAAATACATTGCGACAGTAATAAAACAGGTAATGCTAGCAATAGCAGTATTATCCAAATAGCACAATGGCGTCCTCAGAACGTCCTCAGGCCGTCCAGGACAGATAGTAAGGACTTCTCAAGATGTTCTGTTTCCGATCTAGGAAATCCTAGGACATCCTGTGGAACATTAAATAAGCGCCTCAATGTATCCTCAGGAAGTCCCAACGGCGTCTTATGGATGATTCCAAGGGTATCCTCTAAAGATCTTGAGGATATATTCAGGACCCTCCACAGAATCTTATAGAGAAAAATAATCAGATAGAAAAAGATAATTTTTTGTTATTACTTTTTATTTTTCCGGTTTATATTAATATTTTTACTGTTATTTATATTCTGTCTTATTAACTGCAATTATTGATAAACGTATCGATTTACCAGTAAGATTTGAACCTACGATCGTTAGAACGGTAACCTAATATATTTACGCTGAGCTAATCGCACGCTTGTGATTATTGACAACGTTATACCTCCTACAGTTATTTTTAATTTCATGTCTCTGCTGGTAGTTTAATATTATTAATATTTGAAGAGATGGAAATGAAATAATACGCTGGTATTTATTAACTTACAATTAGTTAGGAAATAACAATGACAAAGTATAATAAATGTTCTTACTCTCGAGAGATCGTCCGACCGTGGCGGGTGAGTAGTTAGTCTCACTGCGATCTGTGTGTTGCGTGTTTTATTTTTGAGCATAAGTATGGCTGACTTTGAATGTACTATTTGTGTTTGTGTTCTAGTCTTTTCCCCAGTCTATCCCATTTTTGTTGCTATTCTTCCCGTTGAGAATATAGTGTGTACCTATTTTGTACCGCCTTTTTATTTCTTTTTGAATTTACTTAACTTATTTGATATTGTTTTTCTTAGAAAGCAATAAAACATTTCATTAGCAAGTTATTTTTACAATTTTATTCTTAAGTGTATAGAAAATTCTATTAGTGTTGTCTCATTCCCTAGTATAGTAATGTGAAATTTTTAGTTAAACGTAATTATATAAATATTTATAACAGCTATAAATTATTCAAAGAATTGCTGACTTTAAACATTTATAATATTATTAATGTACTTACAAATTTTAAATCATTCTGCTAGAAAATTGAACGGAATTAATGAAATTATAATATATACGAGGGCAAGTCAATAAGTTTTTAGAAAATCTATCAGAGGGCACTCGCAGTGTCATGTCATATTACTTTTTGACAAGTAGCATCTTTCAGCTGATCACTGTCAAATTTTGAGCGGAATTCATCTCGTGGTTTCATTTCTGTAGACGATTAAAGCGAACAACCTTTGTATTTTTTGCAAAATGGAAAAAAACGAGTTTTGTGCAGTGATCACAAACATCTACATATAAAAAGTTTAACGCCGAAAGAAATCAAAGCCGAGTTAGATATAGCACATCTGCATCAGCGTTTGCAACTGTACAATTGGGTGAATGAATTTAAACGTGGTCATACATCTACATGTGATGCACCTCGTTCGGGACATCCAATTGAGGCTGCTACGCCAGAAATCATCGATAAAGTCCACGATATTGTTTTGACTAATCAACGAAAGTGTGCGAGCTTGTTAAGGCCACAGACATATCACATGGCACAGTAATTTCAATTTTGCACGAACAATTGGATATGAAAAAGCTGTCGGCAAGATGGGTGCCGCGTTTGCTCACTGTGGACCATAAGCGCAACTGTGTGACGATTTCAAAATAATGTTTAAAGATGTTCCAACGTAATCCAAATGAATTTCTGCGTCGATTCATTACTGTAGACAAAACATAAATCCATTACTTCACACCCGAGACGAAGGAACAGTCAAAACAATGGACTTCACCGGGTGAATCAGCTCCAAAGAAGGCGAAGATCGTGAAGTCGGCTGGAAAGGTGATGGCCAGAGTTTTTTGGGATGCATGCGGTATAATTCATATCGATTACCTTTCGTCGAAGCAAACGACGATTACTACGCCTTATTTGACCGTTCAATAATATTTTAAAGAAAAAACATCCCCATTTGGCGAAGAAGAAAGTGCTCTTTCATCAAGACAATGCATGGGTTCACACGTACCCGGCATCGATGGCCAGATTCAACGAATTCCGCTACGAATTGCTTTCTTATCCAGCATATTTGCCAGATTTAGTCCTCTGCGACTATTTCCTGTTTCCAAACCTGAAAAAATGGTTCGGAGGAAAGAGATTCACAACCAGACAGCAGCTCATCGCCGAAACAGAGGCTTATTTGAAGGGTTGGACAAATCATATTCGGATGGCTTGAAAAAGTTAAAGAATTGTTGGATCAAGTGTATCGAGTTGAAAGGAGAGTATGTTGAGAAATAAAAAATGAATCGATCAAATAAAATTGTTTTGCTAAAAACTTATTGACTTGCCCTCGAATATATGCGCATGCACGCACGCACGCACGTACACAAAAGATTGAAACATCCAAGATATGTTTCCATGATGTTCTGTCCTTGAAGTCCTGAAGATAATGTCCTTATGTTATCTACAGAACATCTTAAGGCTATCCTCAAGATATCATAAGACTGTTCTCAGGACATCCCTACACTATCCCAGAAAGTCCTGAAAATCATAAGGCCGTTCCAGGACGACCTCAGGATGTCCCGAAAGAATGTTCTGAAAGTCCTGAAAATGATGTCAGGGTATATTCCCAGGACGTCTTAACCCTCAGTACACACAACTCTGGCAGTTCCTATCTATCAACATCCGGCTATTTGTAATCCAGCGTTTTCTTTTGCTTGTCTCAGATTGTAGTACATCGATTTTAATTAATTTTTTGTAATTTATTGTTTCAAGATTAACCCTTATGTGGCCAACCAAAAAATCTTGTACCGGGGCCAATCGAGGTACCCGGGTACCTCTATACAAATTTATGGCTAAAAACGTGCTGTAGCCTTAGTTATCTTTATCTATTTGATGGATATTGATTTATTTACAGTTGACGAATATATTCTAAGCTAAATATAATAGTATTATTGTATATAGTGACCTTTTGTTATCCTTAGTCAGATATAAAACGCTGGCAGCTATGCCGTTACCCTCTTTATTTCGAAGGCCAGGTGCATTGAACTAAAAAGGTAGGGAAGTAGAAGGATCTCTACATTCTTCTATACCTGAGTAATGTTCTAGAATATTTTTGAAACGAATGTATACCCAGTGTTCA